GGAGGCGCACCGCAGTCGGGCGGGTCCGGGAGACGGGTCCGGGTTCAATACTCGGGCTAAAGTGAAAACAGCGACAGTCACAGTCCGCTCTTGTTCAATTGTGAACTAAAAAAAAAAGTATTGTTTCACAACACCTCTCCGGTTTCCATCTCTTACGATAATGACTTCGACATTTATATAACACTGCATAAAAATGATTTTACCAGTTATTTAAACCGCTTAGCTTTTGTATGAAAATTGTGTAATAATGTTAACGTTTAGCCCAACAACAGTGAAGGCGATATGGATTTGTTCAATTACACACACTATATTCTTACATTTTATTTCCTTAAAACCAGTATTGGAATTTCATCTTGACCTTCAGAAAATGTGTCTTTTATTACGCAGCGGGGCACATTGTCACTGCCTAGTGCTTTGCCTCTCTGCACGTTTATAATCCCAGTAAAGGCACAAATTGACAGACGATTTAATACACTCATGCATTTAAAGTGTTAGTTCCCGTGTACACAGCTGTAGACACAATTACACGTCCACCAGCTGCGATCTGTCTCTGGATTATCCAGTTCCTACCGAGAAAAAACCGGGGTACGCGCAAAAAATTAACAGCGTTTAAAACCAATGGCGTCACCTATCGGAAAGACAACTCTTCAATACAGAAGAAATATTTTCCATTGAATCCGTCCTTTTCCCATGTACGTTTTGTAAGGTTCTGCTTGTATAAAATCTTAAAATAAATGTACCTTTTAGACACAGAAATCTAAACTGGTTCGGTATTTTTTGGGATTTATCGCCTGGCTGATCTAGTGTTTAGCTTCATTAAAGGTTACATGATGACACAATCTGGGTATCGGTCTTCTAAGATTTGTCGGAAAGGTGCCACTCCTAATTTGAAACACACAACGAAAACACGAATAACATCCAAGCTGCATCCCGCAACCAAACCACCTTTTTGTGACTCCTTGTTCTTTAAACTACACTATCGCTGCTTCCTTTCCCACGGTGTCCCACAAAAAAGGTCCGTCGTGCAACTGACGTCGTGAGTAGGCGTTAGTTCCGTCCAGTAATGTCGAGTCTCTGTAGCAAACTTACCCTACAGTACCTCCGTCACCAGTTTCTGTGCTGATCAGAAAACACCCGAATGCATTACATGAAATCAGCCGTCCATTGTGATTCCTGCTTCTTTGAAATTTTGCAAAGGGGACAGAGTGAAATTAGTTGGTCAAATC